TCAAACCCCCAGATTCCTAACACCCAGTCAAGTCCTAACAGATATTTGTTAAAGTGACATTAAAAAAAAAATAGGGTATTTGTAGATATAATCAAATTAAGATAAAGTCATACTCTATTAAAGTGGATTCTAAATCCATGATTGCTGTCCTCATAAGAAAAGGGAAATTTGAACACAAACATGCAGAGGAAAGATTGTCTTGTTAAAAAGAAGCAGACATTGTGATGATGCAGGGATAAGACAGCCACAGGTAAGGAATGCCAAGGAAATCACTAGAACCTATTAAGGGCTAAGGAAAGATCCCTAAAGCCTTCAGAGGGAACATAGTTGTATCATTACATTTCAGACATTTAGCCTTCAAACCACAAGGGAATAAATTCCTATCTTTTAAGCAATCTAGTTTGATGTATTAATAGTTTGCAACAGCAGTGCTAGGAAACTAATAGGATGAGGAGGCATAAACTTTTTGGTTACATTTTATTCAAATATTAGTTGAAATTTTTTGATCAAATTATTTAAAAAATGGAGAACCTAAAAATTCTGATTAACTGAGAAATCATGGAAAGCAAGACTTGCACATGAGAAATACAGTGAAATTTTTTCCACAAGGGTGAATTATTTTTTAAATAATGAAAGTTCAAATAAATGTACAAGATTTAATATTGAAATTTCACGGCTTGAATTTGGTGTATCTTAAAATTCAGGAAGATTTTAATGACTCTTTGATAAGAAAGTGACCATATGTTTCAGGCAGGAGTAACATGATACCACAATCCGATATGCAAAGGGAGAAGTTTTAATCTCAGCAGGGTCAATGGAATCAAGGGCACTCAGGAAAGCTGCAGTGTCACTCCCCTGAGGTTAGGAACTGAATTACCATAAATAGTTGATATGTGGACAAATGATTTTTCCTGTCAAATGCATAGAACCTGCAAAATAAGAGTCCAGGGAAGTGATGGAGAAGAACAAAGAAAAGTGTTAATGACTAACTTCAAGTTCTTAAATCCCATTGTACTTCACTATCTAAAAATACACAGACTAATAAATTCCTTTCTCAATTTCATTAATTTGAGACAAGTTTTTATTTATGTCACTTAAAACCATGAGAGTAGAATCAAATTGGCATGTCATGGTTCTGTGCAAGTGAATCTTTCACTGTTTTTAGCTATAAAGCTTCAATTTTTGAAGAAAAAAATTCAACATTGCTTTTTAATTAAACAATTAATGTCTCATTTCAGGCCTTTATAACAAAAATCTAATAGGCTGAATGGCTTAAACCGAAACCAGTTATTTCTCACAAGTCTGGAGGCTGCAAGACCAAGATCAAGGTGCCAGCATTTCCTGCATCTGGTGAAGGCCATTTTCCTCACGTGACAGAATGTTGTAGAAGTTTTTCCTTCCTAACTATAGTCAACTGAGAACTCCTGTGGGAGTTGCATTTCTAATCTGAGAAAAAAATAGAAGCCTCCTAGAGTTACCAAACCAAGGGATTGCTGGTTAACTTTTGAAGCAAGGTGAGAGTCAAAAATTTGAGTAGTGGGCAATTACTGATACATGGTCAAATCATAAGTGAGCTTCTTTGTGAGGTTAACTATTATAGCCCTAGTTTCTCACCAGTGTGTTTTTTTTTTTTAGGATTTATTTATTTATGCATAGGAGAGCTGAGGTGTAAGCCAAAGATGCGGGGCATGAAAGGATTCACCAGAAATAGAGTGGGAACAGAACAGGCAGACTGACTGAAATACATTGCTGAGGTCTGCTGTGCCATGTGGGTCACCAGTCTGGCCAGGGATTAAACTAGTTCTACAGTAGCTGTGGATTGCTTCATAGTGCTGATGTTTAACCCCTTGCGCCACCAGGGAGGCCCCTCACCAGAGTGATTTTTAATATATAAATATAAATATATAAATATAAAGTAATTCTAGTGAAAAAAATATGTCTGGTAAATTCTGATTTAAGCCACTATCAGAGAGAATGGTAATTCATCCCACCCACAATTTCTGAACAGCAACCAGTTTATGGATCTATTTTGGATCTGTTTTGAAGAAAAGCCAAAAGTTACTAAGAATGCTTTTTCTATAAAATTGTATTTTTAACTCTGGTATTTCCTTTAAGCTAAGAGTTTTGGGACATATACCTGGAGAAAGGAAACTTTTAAATCTCCTTACAGACATTGGAATTTATGCCTTGTATTTTCACTTAGTACATGGAAGGGAGAATGTCCTGATGATCTATTGTTAATTTGGGATTTCTTTGAATAAGGTAATAAATAGTGTTGCCACCAGTTTGTCTCTTATTAAGTCTAGTGATGATTTAAACTATTCATTGTTGGTCCTCAGTTCAGAGTATATAGTTTGAATGGATATACTTAGAAACTGGTCTTTGCCGCGGACTAACGCAGCGGTAGACTTGCAGGACTGTCTCAGGATTTGAGAAACTGTGAGGATGCTCAAGGAATCGGCGCATAAATGACAAACAGACACACTTCAAGAGTGAAGATCTGAATGTAATTTGCTCAAAATCATCATACACTTTTATACCATTTCCAACAATAGATGATTTCATACAATTTAATTTTTTCTCAGCATAAAATACTTTGTAAGGCATAAGACATCTACTTCATTATTCATGTGCATGTGATCGCTGTTCCATGACATGGCACAGTAAACAATCTCCAGGTACTGAATCTACACAATCGTTTTTGCCTACACCGAACAGCATTCTTTAAGCTAGCTTTTCTTGATTCGTATCCCAAAACCACAATGATCAGAAAGCATTGATATTTACCTACTGGCACCTTCTACTTTTAGTGATCACGAGCAATATATTTTCTACGTAAGAAGCATTTTGATTTTTATGGTGTTGTCTCATGTGAGAAGTATTATGATTATTATAAAACTACCATTGCCACACACTATTTTCTTTATCATGCATTTCCTGAAACTGATTGTACACATATAAGGAAAAAGCAAAGTAAGTGAAAAAGTAGTATGATTATAGACAGGTTGCTAAGTTGTTACTATTTCTGAAACAATGGCTATCTGATTAATGGTAAAACTGCTTTGTAGGTAATTCCATCAGGCTTGTTTGCAGGTGACGTTCTTAGCAGCCTTGTTTCCATCAAAGGAGGGGTTAATTACTGCGGGCTTGTTGCCTAAATTAGGCTTATAGGCATGTGTGCCTTGTTTGATCTGAACGCCAAAGTTTATCATGATGAAGCCCCTCGGGGACTGCGCCTGTCTTAGGTCGTCAGGAGTCACAGACATGAGGCTGGCCAGTGCCTTCTTTAGTCTGCCCCCGATCTTACCCGTCATTGACTGTCCAGTCCAGCGCACAGGGGAAGGGGGTCTTACTCACTCTGATGTGTCTGAGTGAAAGCCTCCCTTTTTCCAGTAAGTTCACTGGCGTTCAGCGGCAGAGGCTGCCGCAGGTCTTGTTTCTATGTTAACCCCCTAATGTACAAAGTTAGGAGGTCAAAAAATACTGAATAGAAACCATTATTGTTAATTACAGTTTGTTTTGGTTGTTTTAAACATTATGCTTTTTATCATTTCTTGGCACTGGGAAAGATCGGCCTGAATAATGTTGAATAGAATAGGTTATAGTGGGCATCCTTATCTTATTCTTGCTAGGAAATGAAAACTTACAACATCTAAGTAAAGAGGTTATCATGTCTCCCTCTATAATAAAATTAAAACTTTGCAACTTAGGGAATTGTAACAACTGTTAAATACTAACTGATGTAGAGTGGCTAATTACATTTAATCTACTTCTCCATTTGGCCCTTGCATAAATTCTTGGAGATTAGCAATGGATTATTCCAAATTTAACAAGGTGGTAAAACCTATTACAGGTGGTATTTTAAATGTGATGAATGTCTGAAAATAAATACCTAATACTTGTTTTATAGCTAGTGACTTGATAAATGTATTGTTCTCCATTCTGACATAATAACTAAAAAGGAAACAGAAAAAAATACCAGAAACAATTCACATTCATCTTACAAAATAGAAGCTTCTATCTTGCGGGGCAGCTTAAAGGGCATTTAAGGAGCAGTAACCCCCTATTAATTCCCTGCAGACCCAGTGGGTGACCAGCCTTCTTTAGATTAAAACCCAAGTTGTTCCATCTTGTACACACTGAGAGAAGGCAGGAGACCCAATACTAAACAACTTTCTTTTGATTTTCAAAGCAAAAAATTCATGTTTGTGTATTATGCACAACTCATAATATAGATAAAGTTTTAGGTGTAGATATAAATGTGGGTATAGGTATAGTTATAGCTAAACATATACACATATATAAACATACACACACACACATATTCAGTAGGATACACACAACTAATGGCTATCTAGATGGTCTAGGCTGTGGTACTGAAGAACTTGTGACTTGTGTGTTATGACCTTCTGCTTTCAATGGTTCAATGGTTTGTAAAGGGCTGTGACAATTTGTATTGATTGGGAAGCATGGAATACACCCTGACATTGTCACTTGACACTCTGAGGATATAAGGGCAAGTAATTATTGTCATTTTGAGAAATAGCTCCCCAAGGGGCTCTGGAAGACCCTTAACAGACCACCATGGATACATAACAACCATAAGTTCTATAATGATCCACCAAATTATTATTATCTAATCTATGTAGTTATAAACTCAGGTGTAATCAAATTTATTAGGCCCAAATAGGTCTTGATGACAAGCAAATTGCATATCTAGGTTGTTCAGATTCCTAATGCAACCACAACCACCACACTGCTGCTCTTCTCTGTAGCTGCACCTATGTCATCTTGGGAAATACTCTATAAACAGCAGACTTCACATGAAAGATCTTGGAAGTGAACATTTAAACATGTTTTTCATTTCGAATGTGATTGAAAGTGTCATGAAAAATTTAGAGAAAATGTAAACTTGCATACTTAAAAACTAAATAGGTTTAGGTGTAATCTACCAAGTAGAATAATGACAGAGAATAGGGATTGTGCTTTAAAATGTAATTTATTGAAATGAAGAAGAAATCTCAGTCACTGCACACAATTTTTTGAAATGATGGCACTTACAGAAAAAAACAATTCAAAAACTTTTTAAACAAAATTTCCATAGAAAAATAGTAAAGCCTTTAATATCCTCTGGCTCAGTAGCCTTTATACTGGCATGATATAACTGGAATTTTGCCAACGAACAAGAAAATAATTATATGCTAGCTAATACATAGTAGAGGAGTCAAGAGTGTCCTATTTTAAAATAACAGCAAAATCTTTGAATAGGATGGTTTTACATGCGAGGCAGAGGAGGAATTTCGATGGAATTTTCAGTCACATCTGTGAATAGAAAAAGAAATTGGTGTGTTTAGTTATAGTGCATGTTTTTGAGAGCAAGAGATACTTTTATGATGTGTTTCATTTTAATAATCATTTTCTTTTCATCTTAAGATGAAGCTTATAATGTTATTTGTTCCTTCCTGTTACTGCTCCAGATTTCTAACTTTTAGAGATAATATATTATTAGGTATTATTTCGTGTTTCAGTGATATAGAAAATATAGCTGGGGAATTAGAAGATAAAACCTCTACATAAGTCAGAGTTTTATTGTTTTTCTTAGTTTTATCTGCTGGAAGGGAAGTTTCTAGCTCTTGAAAGGGAATTCACAACACACACATACACATGTGTGTGCACACAATTAAAAGCTTCGTTATGATGGATGACGTATTTAGAACATATCTTTACAAGTTGAAGTCTGTTTGCCTGTTGACAAACACTTGGTTTCACTATGTGACTTGATAAGGATTTTTATTGGCATGTTCATAGAGAACAGGATCCCACTATGGGTCTCTCTCTTGTCTCAAAGTCATATTTTCATGGAAAATCAGTAATATCCATATCCCTATACTTGCATAGGAGTTTCAATATTATGAATTACATTAGTTAAAACAGGGTAATATTTAAGTTGCTATTCAAATAGAATATGACTATGAAACAAAATTTACAAATGTCCTCGCCAATTTAATTATGATCTAAATGTAAATGTGGCCATAGTAACTAAGCTTCATGGGGAAAAAAGCTTTATATTATGCAATCATATTTTTGTACTTAATATCAAAAGGAAAGAAGGTCAATGGTTAGACAGGTCTTTTCCAAACTTACCAAGGTTCATAATTGTGGAGTTTCTAAGAATTCGTTTAGTTCTTCTGAAGAAACAAAAATTGTTAAAGTCATGTAATTGAAGATAGTAATAAAATATTACTAATCAAGGAAAATTATTTCTACTCTTGGGTCTATTTTCCTAGAACTATACTTAGTAAAGATGATTGTATTTAATGACCTTTAAACTGATAAAAACAAGTATCAGTGTATTGTTTTAAGTAAGCAAAATCTCTAGAACTTGAATCCAGGATATTGGGATGCCAAAATCTGTGCTCCATCTCCCCACACTGCATTCTTATGTATGTCATGGGGATAATTAAAAGGGAGGCAATTAAAGACTAGTGAATTGCAAGAAGATAAAGTTGAATTTCTGTATTTTAATTTGGAGAGATTTTTCCCTACCCTCATGAGAATGAGTTTCACTTATAGGGTGGCACTATCACACACATTCCCCAAGTAATGGATTAACATTATACATAGATACAAGCAAGCATTACTGATTTTCTATTTTAGAAAACTCTAGAATAAAGCTCTAATCATGATTTACCATGCTTCTCTAGATATATTTTTAGGGTATGTTCTATGAATAATTAAATTTCTTTTGATAGAACATCAGTATGCAGTGATTTAAAAATACTTACCACCACTGTGGCATAATGTTAGCTTTTTCAATGTTCTCAGAGGCAATGGGGTTAGTGATGTCGTAGAATGGTAGATAAGTAATGTATTGTGGATAATAATACCAAGCAGCATAAGGGTAGGCATCAAGCTGGTAGTATTGCTGAAAAGGCTAGGAAAAGATTATTGAAAAATAAAAATGTATGTTCAGTTGCTGCTTTGAATCCCATTTCATTCATTCTTAACATGATTATTAATATCACAAGAGATAATTTCTCCCTGAGGGAAAAGCAGAAATCAACTCTTTTTGATGATGAAAATCATCATCAATCATGGTGAAAATACCCCGGAAAGTGTCTTTTTAGGTCTTTTCTTTAAGGTAACTATTCAATACTGAATTTTAAGAATCAACATTACTAACACACACTCAATTATTAGAGTCCAGAAAAAAAGTAGTAGTGTGGATATAATTATTGCATTATTTATACACTCGTGGGGATTTGAGCTGGCAAGGGTAATTTTTCCCATTTAACTGTATATTTTAGTTTTCCTTTAAAAGTTGAAGTCACACACACACAAAACACTGCCAAAAATTAAGACATGGGAGTTTGGTCACAAAATAATAGAGTCATATAAATTTCACAAGTGAGAAAAGAAATCTGAAAGATAGTGCATGATTTGCTTAAGATAATATGATTAGAAGGTATAATACCTAACATAGAAAACTCAGGTTATTTTTGCTACAAGTTCTATAGAATAATAAAAAGTCACCTTGTGATAACATGATTAGCCAGTTGGCATTGTACTGACTTAAATGTTGACCAGAAGTTACGTTTATCTAGAGATGGCCCTAGAGTTATTCTTTCACTTTTTTTTTCATGTTTATAGGCCATTTTACAGGGCGAAATTATGAACAGTTTTGGAGTATTCTGGAAGTTCCCCAATATTCACTTTTATATTATAGTTTTTGCACTTATTAATGATTAAATAAGAAAATCATTAACTACATATTAAAAACAGTAGAAGTAAGGCACCAGAGAATCTGGTATATTCTTTCATTTCTCCTGGAAACTTAGATTTGATCTTTCATAGCAACGTTAGAACTAACACTGGGGTGTCTGACAATTATCAGTAGCTAAGAAATAATAACACAGAAATATATAAGGATGCAACTAGTACTACCGTTAAAAAAAAATAGTGACTGCTACTAGACAGTTTGTGGCAGTATAAAAATACACACACACATAAACAAACACAGATTTACCTGATTCACTACACTCATGGGCTCTGTCTGGAAGAAAAAGAGAATTACAGTTACCACTGAAGGTTGAACAAAATTCAAAGATGAAGAAGCAACCTGTTTGAAATACTTTTCATGTTAGAGATTTAGGATCCTACACAAATTTTGCCAACTGCATTATAGTTACAAGATTCACTACATGCCAAATAGTAGCTGGATGCCTCCATGACTATGGGGTGGAACAGGTCTCATTAATCACAGGAATCAGAATTGTTTAGGTAGCACAGCACATATTTTGTAGCAACAAGTTATTTTCTTAAAAATGAAATCAGAAGCCCAGGGACACTGTGCAATCAATGAAATATAGGGCAGAGAAGAATATTCTATTATGTATTACCGATAAGTTCACTTCACAAATGAGAAAACAGAGGGTCAGAGAGTTTCTTGACAAAGACATTTAATATCTCTTCACATTGTTTCTGAAAAGTATGTCAACTAATAAATAATAAATATGCCTTGCTTAAGAGAGTATGATTATAACTAAATTTGAGATTCCTAAAGTAAATTGGATTTGTGATTCAAGATTTGGACAAAGATGTATAAAATTAAGGAATATTTTAAAAACAGAAATTGATATAACCATAGAGATGAACAATTCAGAATGCTTATGATTGTAAATGTAATGCCCATATCAGCTGAGCAGAACAGTTCTCATAAGATGAGACAAGTTTTCATCTCCCAGATTGAAACAGATAAATTATTTCAGAAAGTCGATAGTGAGAAATAAGAACTCTTTTCAAAAGTGTGAGGCCTTTTAGTTACAAACATATTTAAACTTCGAAATGTATTATTGTGTAATCTATTAAACAAAATATTACCAATTGAACATAATTGTATTCATTCACTCTCTGAGGTTGTTCCTGTAGAAAAGGAAACACAGCTAAATTACTCAGACATCTTACAATACATTTTTTTTGTGTGTGCACCAAGACTACATCATCATCTATACAATTTAGTACAGATTGTATATTATGCCAGAATTATAAAAATAAACAAAATACTTTCTTTTATAGTTTTAGAAAAACAGTCAGCTAAGAATTGACTTACAATAGTTTGGAAAAGAATTTGTAAAGTCTGTACTCTGAGGAAGCCAACAAGCTATCAATTATATAGGAATGTATTTAAGGCTATATATTAATCATTTTTAAGAGAAATATAAATTTTAAAGAAAATATTACCAGATATTGGTGATAGAGCAAGTTCTCCTTTGGAATATTCTTCTATTAAAAAAAAGTGGAGCACACATTATAAAAACAGCTTGTAAAGGAAAAAATAAAATATTCCAGGTTTAATCAATATACTTGCCTGCGCTTGAACAGCTTTCTAAGGAAAAGAAAACATTTTATTTTAGTAATTTGATTTCATCCATTTATGAATAACAAACATTTATTTTATCCAGTGAGAAATGATGTTCCAGTGAAACATGATGAACATTATGAGCAAGACCAATGTAGTTTTAGTACTTGTTGAGATTACAGTTTATCCAAATAGTAGCTAAGATAATAAAATATATTATTCATATAATTTCTTAATTCCAGTGAGGTATTGCTATGTTTAAAATTATAAGACTTTATTTTAAATAAAGACAACTTGGAAATTGGCATCGATGTAACAATTTGGATTCAAATTAATGTCATTATTGGCTTTCCTCTTCCTGTATTAATGGCAAAAGAAAATGTAAATATAATTTTGCTAAACTTGGACAGGCCTTTTTCCTAAATTCTATGTCAATTTCATGTTATTACTAAAAGAAAGTTTAAAAAAAAAAAACTGAATGAAAGACCTTATGATACTCAAAAAGATGAACACAAAATATTGATGAGGGCTGTGCTAATTGATAACTTTTTTATTTATCCATATCTCCAGTATACAGAAAGTTCAAATCATTTAAATACACATACTGATCAAAGATCTTCAAAAAGTTGTCAGAATTCTCATGAACCCAGGAAATTTTATGGAGAGTGGGGAATAGGGGCGGGAAGAGAAGGCGTGAACATTTGTTTGGCTTGCTACAAGCAGACTCAGGGTTAGCTTAGCAGGAGATCACTCCTCTAAAACTCAAAATAGTACCAGGAGACAAATACAGCTAGATTTCCATTTCACATCTAAGAAAGCAGGCCCAGAAACATTTAGATGAACTATCCCATATTTTTCTTAGAGAGTTTTGATAAAAGCAATTTAAACATTTAAGAATCTTCATTCTTTCTCTAACACATACATTTTTTTTTCCTGAATGGAAAGTGTATTTGGTATATGGTTTATTTATCACAAACAGGCATATTGATGGAATTCGATTCCAGGACTAAATTTGAGAAAATAGACTCATGATAAATTCTTAAATATAATGCAACATCAGTGAGACTATATGAGGATTTGATGCAGACTATGGTCAAAGTAAATTTCTCCCTGACTGGTAGTTATGGAGTTGATATACAACATTAGATATACAAGTATTATAGTAAATAGAATATTACCAGCTGCAGTTGGTTGTATTTGTTCAGCTTACGAAGCTGTTCCTATTCAAAATGAAAAATATTTCAGTTGCTTGGAATCATTCAGTCTAATTCTGTCATTTTCATTAACTTAACTAAAAATCTATACAATGTCTTTTCCCAGGAGTAAAGCATTAGGAACTGTTAATCCCACTTTAATGTTATCTCTATCACAATTGATTTGTACTAATTCAACTAATTCCTTTATAAACATTAGAAATTCTATTTTCTTAACTTATTTTTAACTTAAAATAAATTACAAGGCACTTACAGTGTGACGTATGTCATAATAGCTTTCTAACTATTTTAACTTTGGTCAGCTTAAATCAGAATATTAGATGAACTGGGCAAAATGATATTTCTGATGCTAACTATATTTATTGAGACTTTAAACTCTGGAATATAGTTTTACATCATTTATTACTACGATCATCATTTTAGAATCATGTTAGACTTACAGTGGATAATGAAATTGCCAAATAGCACATGCTGTTAAAAGGTTGAGGTTAGAGTCAAAGGCTCAAGTCTTGCTGAATCTATAGAATGCCACTTAAATATGTTCAGATCCCAAAACAGAATAAATATATCTATCCAACCAAAACATGAATTATATACCTGTTATAAAAAAGTTGCTTGTTTTATTTTTTGAGGGGAATCAGTAAAGACCTAGTAAAGTCTGTCAAACTGTTTAATATGGATTAAAATTCAGCAGATAGGGAGAATTAATTTATCAATACAACATTCTTACTCAATCCTTGGCACATTCACATTTAATAAATTTTAAAATTTTACCAGATAACGTTGGTAGAGCATGTCTTCCTTTGGAATGTGCTTCTGCTGAAAAAAATAATCCACAAAACTAAGTAAATTTCAGCATTCTGACTGATGTTAAGATATTTTAAATTTAACAGATATATCTCACCTTAGTGTTTTTGTGAACTTCCTTTAAAAAGTAAAACAACGCAGTGTTAGTTTCATAATTTATGAATTATGAATTATGAATTATAATTTATTAATTTTACTTAAGGATAGTAGGATTCTCTGCCTGGACTTTCATAAACACTTCAACCAATTGGGACACTGAATTAGTATCAAAGTCATTTACCTCACTTGATGAGCTACTGCTAGATTTCTTCTGCTGAAAGAAAGAAAACCAATGATTTAATGATGCTGAGATTTTTGCAAATGAAAAGAAACTAATTTCACACTGGGTTGTAAATCCCTAGGTTTAGAACTGAAAGAAGTGGTATGAAAAGATTCAGGAATAATATAATGTATTTTTTTGAAATGTCAATTTTATTTAAAGTATGTTGGAGTATAATATATCTAACCATTTTAAAATATTTTTATTTAAACAGAAGCAGGTATATGGTTGAATAGAATGAAAAATGGATATGAATTTATTTGATAAAAATAATATTGGAAGGAAGGTGCCTATAGAGCTGGACTATCCAAGATCCATCCTTGGTTAGGTATTTTGTTTCATCTATCTGTGGGGTTATTTTAAAATGCATAAACTGGATAAGTTAAAATACAACAACCAATTTCTGCATGGAATTAAAATTACATTAACTTTTAAAACATAAACCCTTTGAATTATTTAGTTTTTCTTTTAAGTCAGATATGCATATATGACATATTGATTTACTTTGTGTTCCCAAGGACACATTTCAAAAGATTGCTTTTAATATTCAACAGACTGTCCATCTCTTGGGAGGTTTGATTAACCCTATTTTATGGGTTAATATGTTTTTTCCATATTTTTATATTAGGTACTTCAGTCCATTGACTCTAGCTAACGGCTTCAATAGATTCTCTGCCCAAGGACTACCCTTAGCATAAAGGAAAGTAAGCTTACGCCGTGGGATAGTAGAGGCAAGGTTTTGTTGAAAACTCATGTTTCATTTTAAATTTTCATGTACGCTTTGCTCTCTCTATTTTAATAAATAAGCAATGTTTTTGCTGATAGTTTTTAAATGAAATAACTTCTTCCAGGTTTTGTGTTTTTGTTTGTTTTTTTTTAATCTGGCACTGTGTTGTATATTCTTAGGTATAATATCCCTGTTTGAGAAGTTCAATATTATTCAATTTGAGAAAACAGCTTTTTAAAAATTAAAGCAATAGTAACTTATAACATTATATATGTTGCAGGTGAACTGCCCTTTAAATCAATATCTTTATATACCACCATATGTTTGTCACCATAATTCTAGTTTCCATTCATCACCATAGAATTAACCCTTTTTATCTGTGTTCCTGCCCTTCTGGTAAACGGTGTTTTATTCTTACAGTCCAAAAGTTTTTGTTTTATTTAGTTCAATCATTTGTTTTATTTTGTTTATATACAAATAAAAAAGCATGGAATAAAAAATCATAGAAAAGATAATCTATAAATGATCTATTAGTGCTTACCTCAGGGTCTTCTACGACCTGTTCCTTTGGAAAATAAAAGAGAATTTTATTATTCACAACAAATTTTCAAATGTAAAATAATAATTACCGAATGAAATAAATGCCAAAGACAAGAGGAAATTGAGAGAATATTCAAGTGATAAAGAAAACAAAACAATAAATAAATTTTTCTACTTTGGCCTAAGTTAACTGAAGAATTTATCTCCATACTCTGTGTATTAGAGTTTAACAAAAAACTATTTTGTATTTCTTGTATGCTGTGGTAAATGATTTTTCCTTTAACAAATATAATTTCTTTTTCTTCTTCTTTTCTATAACTTGGCTTTTGAACATTAAACAGAATCATTGGATTAAAGATTTTGCAATAAATGAAAGTGCACTAGATATTGGTTCAATGATGTATAAATAATTAAACAAAATGGATTTCCTACATGTGGTGTGTTGTGTTCAGTTTTCATGACCGTAACAAGAAAGACAATAGTGGCATTACCCATGGAATTGAATATCAAAATATTAGTGCTTGCCAAGTTATCCAACTAATTCTACCCACCATATGATATATGCTGTTTTTATTTATTCAACTAGATATACCTATGTTAGTTTTGATTTATGAGAATTACTTGTTTTTATTGGAGTAAGGTTTTAAACAAAATGTTTTTACTTGTTTCATTTCTTCTATCAAATGTATCAGTTTTAAACCAGTTTTTTACTTCAGTTGATTCAATCCTAGTATCCTCTAAGAAAAGGCAATCATTGAGGTAAGGAGGATACTTAGAGATATATTTTATACCTCATACATTTGAGCACCTGTGTGATGTCTTAATACCAAATATGCTAAAAAACTATAGGTAGAGCCTTCCTGGTGGCATAGGGGTTAAGTCTCAGCACTATCAAGTTATCACCAGGCACTGCAGGATGAGTTTTATCACCAGGCACTGCAGGATGAGTTCTATCCCAGGCTGCCAGGGAGCTAACCTACATGTCACAGCAGACCTCTCCTGTCTCACCAGCTGCCCCCCTCAGTAGTGTATTTTAGTCAGTCTGCCTGTTCTGTCCCCCACTCTGTCTCTGGTGAATCCTCTCACCTCCTGCACCTCTGGCCTACACCCCAGTTCTTGTATGCATTAATAAAATAAATTTTTAAAAAATCTAGTAGACAACTCAGATTTAAAAAAAGATCATGTCTAAAGAAAGCTAATAGCATTGGTGGTATAGTGGTGAGCACAACCGCCTTCCAAGAAAGTAAGTAATCAAATTTCACTATATAATGTAAAAATTTCTTGCAACAGCTATATTGCTTTATATAATACCTTTATTGAAGCATTCCTTTAACATTCATTGAATGGCTCATAATTTGAATAGTCCATTATTTCATTAATTCACTCATTCATTCATTCATTCATCTATATAGTGCTAATGCCTTGTCTGCTTACAGTCACATAGTAAGTCAATGAAATTAACAAAGTGTGGAGGGTACCCAATGGACTATTGGTGCCTGGGTGGAGTATGATTTGGTAACATCTGTATCCCTCTGAGTTGTATATAGTGTTGTAAACCAATGTTTCCTCAATGGAAAAAAATGCTAAACTATTTCAAAAATAAAATCAGAGTTTTTTTGAATTCTCAGCTGAATTTGTCATTTTGAATGTCAAACTAAAAAGTTCAAGAGATCTATAAATGCCATAGAAATTTTTTTGAATCAAAACACTTTTTACTGCAACATACATGTTTTTATCATAATACTTTTAAGAACAGTTTGATAACTTACTTCATCACTCTGTTTTTCTCTCATAAATTCTCTCTGCTGAAGTCAATAAGATATAGCTTGTAATAAATATTTAAAAGAAAAAGATCTTAAAATAATTTAAAATCATTGATTCTCCTTACTATCTTCTGTTTATTGGTATATTCCATAGAAATAGAAGAAGGGACAACAAAATAAAAAGGGATAAAAATAAATGAAAATTTATGAGAAATTACATATTACATTTCTTGCTAAAATTTTGAAAATAAATGTTTGCTTGTGAATATGTTAATATTTCTTGCTTTATCTTTTCTAACATCTCCTTGCTGAACCTTCTTTGCTTAAACTTTCAATTTGTAAATATGTACTTAAATATTTTAAACTTTTATTCCACAAAATTTTGTTGTTATTTGTGTTTTAGCCTCATTTCCAAATTTTTTTGATCTCACCTGGTTCAATAAATCTAGTGTCTGTCCCCATAAAAAAGGTAATAAAGAATTGGGTAGTGTAACACTTGCTTCCTTTTGTTAACTCAATGCTATATCTCATGGAGACTTTCTTACCTCTCTCCACTCTCTTTGTACAGGCTACAAAAAAGGAAAAGAAAAGTTACGTTAAAAATCATTCAGGCAAGAAATTAGGCAGAAGGAAAAGGTAAATACAGGCTAGTCTATATGTGGAAGGTAGAGAAACCAAACAAAAGGTCAAGAAAAAGTCAAAACTAACAAGCTGACAATAGAACTGAAGGATACAGCAAAGGAAGAGGTGGGGGAGAATGATCACAGAGAATATGGTGATGATTCATAGGCAATACGGCTGGGGGAGAACTATGAGGACTACAACGACATAAGAAAAAAGAATTAATGGGCCTCCCCAATGGCGTAGCATGTTGAGTGCAGCTCTATGAAGCTTTCCGCAGCCTTTGCAGCACGGGTTCGATCCTGGCCAGCCAGGGAGATACCCACATGGCACAGGAGACCTCTCCTGTCTCTCCCGCTGCTCCCCTCAGCAGTGCATTTCATCTGTCTGCCTGTTCTGCTCCCCAATCTGTCTCTGGTGAATCCTCTCACCCTCCCGTGCCTCTGGCCTGTACCCCAGTTCTTGAATAGATAAATAAGTCTTTATTTTTTTTTTTTTTTTTTTTTTTTTTTATAGAGGCATGCTTTATTTATTTGTTTTGCTGGTTTGTTTGTTTGTTTGTTTTGTTTATACATGCACTGGGTACAGTCAGAAGCGCGGGAGGGTGAGAGAATTCACCAGAGCCAGAGCGGGGAGCAGAGCAGGCAGAAGGACCGAGGTACACTGCTAAGGGGAGCAGCGGGCGGCAGGAGAGGTCTGCGCACCATGTGGGACCCTCGCCGGTGGACGGGGAGCAGCCGGGGATCGAACCGGCGCCGCAGAGGCCGCGGGCAGCTTCGCAACCCAGCGCTCAACCGCTGCGCCACCGGGGAGGCCCCGATAAATAAGTCTTTAAAAAAGAAAAAGAGAAAAAAATAATTACTAAAAAATGTTGGAAAAAAGAAAAAATCATTCAGGCAAGTTTGGAATGTCCATCAAATCTACATAGCGACCTTAAGTAAAACTTCTATTTGTGTTTTATCTGAGAAGTCAAAAAATTATAGCTAATATAACAAGGCTAATTATTACGTAGACACAGAAAACATTTCATCGCAATGAGCGTGGAAATTGCATGTTTTACTCAGGTTAAGAAAAGAGAAACATATTTACCCAAAGGACACAGAAATATCAATTCCAAAGAGCACCTGCACCCCTATGTTTATAGCAGCACTGTTTACAATAGCTAAGCTTTGGAAACAACCCAAATGCCCCAAAATAGATGACTGGATCAAGAAGATGTGGTACATATACACCATGGAATATTACTCAGCACTCAAAAAAGATAAACACATGCAATTTGCAGCAACATGGATGGCGCTGGAAGGGATCATGCTCAGCGAAATAAGCCAGAAAGAAAAAGAAAAATACTGGATGGTCTCACTCATAGCAGGAATCTAGAAAACTTAAATAAGGGACCAGGAAAATGAATAACTATAAGAAAGTGAAAATCAAAATCAACAAAAAACTATGAACCAGAGACACTCTATGGGGGGTGGGGGGCGGGGAGGGGAGAGATTGGGGTCAAAATAAGGGGGTTGCAATTGTATGGGGAATATAAAAATAAAATTTATTAAAAAAAAGAAAAGAGAAACGTAAGTATTTTTTCAAATGGGCAAATGTATAAATAAAAACTAAGGCTTAAAGCAGCTCATAAATATTTTTATATTCATTTCCATTTTCTTTGTGGGTTCCTGGGTGAATTAATGAAAGAAAGCTTGATCAAGCAAGTGAAAAAAATTATTTATAAACAAAAATTTATTTTTAAGATTTGGTAGATAAACTTACCAAGGCCAACTTGAAAAACTTTCTTTCTTTGAGGACTTCCTATAGAATAAAATACGAAAATGAAAAATACACCCCAAAAAAGAACATGTTTTTCCATTTGAAAACAAACTCTCCAAATAATTAGATAAACCAAAATATTTCTTAGACAATAGATAATTAGTTTTAGTTTCATGGTCTAATTTTAAAATCTAAGAGAGACAATCTATTTGGTTCTTTCTTTGCCAGGTCTAGAGATTTAGCAAGTTCATGCTTACCAAAATATAAAAGAAGGAGTTGAATAGAGATGTAATCAAATCAGAGAATTGAAAGAGTAATCCAAGGACCTGAGTACTGCACACATTTGAAGGTAAGTACCAATTGCAATGAACAGATATTCAGCATTCATCATAGCAAAATAAAAGAAAGAGAGATTAGGTGGGATGGGGCAGCAGAGAAAGAACTTACCTCTCTGCTCTCTGGGTCATTCTGCAAAGAATAAAAAATAAATAAAAATATCTTACTTCAATTATTGAATGGAAAATGGAGGGTTAGTGACTCTTTTAGAATGGTGTGGTAGAGATACATATATCTAATTTTAGATTAATTTCATAAAGTGAGGCCAAATTGCAAGCCATGTTTGAATGAAAGTAAAAGAAAATATGGTAAAAGAAATCACAGAACATATTATGTTAATAAATAATTTCCCTATAATAGAGGGTTTTCATTAACTATAAATATTTATATGTCTATGTATCCTCCTCTCTAAGAAGAGTGGTGAAAACAAATCAAGATAGTCAGGACTTGAACTGAAGATATTATACCATAGTAAATGTGAAGCTGACTGTTTAATATTAGTAAAGGGATGTGTTAAGTATACATCATCAATTAAGTGTCACAATTAGAGTGAGATTTTGGAACAGGATAGAATACTCACCAGAATGAGTTCTGAGTGTTGTCTAAGAGGAAGTTTCTGTGAAAAGCAGTGCAAGAATTATAAAACACAACAAAAACTGATCTAAACACAATATATTGACTATTACAATATACATATAATACTATAAATTCTGACATTGTTACTTAAGAAAGTATGTAATTTTAATCATATCAAGTTTCCCTGAAAGCCAAAAAACCCCATAATTACTGTATTGACAAATATCAAAGCAAAATAGATTATTTCCTTATGGCAGAGAATTGAGAAAATGAAGTGAAGTGACAAAAAATTTGAATCAGTTTTAATTAATCCAGATGATTAAAAATTACTTTATTTTCTGAATTATTTGCATTATATGATAGTTCTAAATATTATTTTAAACCTTTATAAATTTTTGAGGCATGAGTGGTAAGGAAAAAAAACCCTCTTAAAATTCAACAAACATTCTTACTGACTCATTCTTACTGTTTATATGACTTATCTATTCACTAGATATTTTACTTCCTCTTACATGATTTTATAGTCCTCAAAAAAAAATGGTCAAAGTAATCTTTGAGATATTAGAAAAAGTTATCGTATGCATTCTAAAAGAAAAGAAAGAAACATTGTTTATATTGTTTTATTTATATTTTCTAGTTTCACTGTCAGATTACCACAATAATTTGACCTCTGATTCAGCAGAATCAGCCCAGTTTTCTATACTTCGGGGGGAAATTGGTTGATTCAAGTCATCTCAAATAAGGGTTTGACTTAGTTTCAAAAAGTAGGATACATCAGAACATATGATTGTATGTAATATTTGGTCAGGAACTATTGGACACCTATTTTACGTCTACAAATATGCTAATCTTTAATAGATCCAGGGAAAAAGCCTAATTTCATGCTGTATATTGTGTTTTGTGGTGCTGCATCTCTACTTCTTAAAAAAAATGTTAATTTTTTATTGTTAGGTGCTTTAGGTGCTTGTATTTCAAGTCACTCATTTTAATTGGAGTTTAGACTTTGAAAGAACAATATAATGATAATAAAAATGCAAGTCATATCCTAGTTTTAATATTAAGTCATAACTAAACATTTCCCAAAGTTTTAAGATTATAATTCTTAGTATTGCAGTTTGATGAGATAGGAGGTCATTTCTATTAGGATTTAGAACCCTCTAAATTATCTTCTGTACTCACAGGCCTGGCAAGAGCCACTGCCACAAGGCAGGAAAGGATGAGCAGCTTCATGATTGCCAAAGCCTAGGAAAGAGAACAAAAAAAGAGTTGGATCTTATAATAAAATCACTTCATGAAAATAATCCTTGATTTTTCTTAAAAAAATAGGTTCATTTGAGTAGTATTTTTATTAACTTAGGATTTTTATATTGTTACTTAAAACAAATGTTTGTCATTCTAGTTAACTTGCTCAGTGCTTATATTATTTATAAATATTAATATATTACCAATATCTTTCTTTGCTAACACCTTAAAACACAATATTTGATCATTGACGTGGTACTATAGTTTTATGAGAGGAATAGAGAACCATAAATATTTAAGTACACATTATAAAAAACCTTTTCCCCTAGATCATTAACTCTGATAAATTGGGTAATAACTTTGATAAATTGGGTAATTAACAAAATCCATCTAGAACTAGCATTTAATTTTTATCTGAAAATGTTTGAAAATGTATTTCTTTTTTAAATCTATTTGGGAGCAACTTCCTCTTTCAAGGTCTTCATGAAAAATGCTGTGAGTACACAGAAAATTTTAAACTCTATCAATTATTAAAAAAAATCTAGCTATCATATCATGCTTTGTTGCACAGATATATCTATGACATGATGAATGAAGATTGAATTATTGGTAGACTCAGAAGATTCAGATGTATTACCACATTTGATTCTAAAATTTTATTGAATCACAAGATCCTAGAAATACTAACACTTACATGTGTAGGAAAATGGCTTCCAGAGAAATTACCAAAATAAAATCAGGTTATGCAAGCAATTTGTTCATAACTTAACCAGCAAATTGACACTACCATATTTTATATATACTCCATCAGTTATACAGCCTAGAATCTAAACACATTAGTAAAGAAGCATATTTTTAAAACCAAATTAATTTACTAACTTTATCCATTCATATCCTCCCAAATACCTCAATTTTTCTAAAAGTAATCATTTACTTATCTATCATTGACATATTTTTCAGAATTTTTTTATTAGTCAAGTGACAGGAACAAAAATGGCCTTGAAATATGCCATTAGAAATGATCTTTACTATGATAATTAAAAAAATGAAATTATTTTATTAAACAGCATTCCACAAATGAGCAAGAACAATTCAAATTACCACATTTCACTAAAATTTGTTATTATTTTGTCAAATTATTTACAAAATTCAATTAAAAATGATTTGCTATTTAAAAACTTCATTGATATTTTACTTAAAGCTCTAAGATGGTATCAAAATTTGCAAAGGCATTTTAAAACTACTACAATGTCTTAAGAAGTGGTCAGTACTTGTAAATACATAGAATATCACATAGATGCATCTTAATGAATAGTGAATGAAAAATTAACGATGTGGAATCATAGTAATTTTGCTATGTGTAAATACAATACCTTGAACCAAGACTTGAAAGAACTTCAAGCTGGGTTGGTGAGGAAGATGATGGTGTATCTCTTTGCTTCACAGCTATTTAAACCAAGTAAGTAACAAAATGTTAATTTCGTGGTTTCAGTTCAACCAATAGGTATGTTTAAATTCTACGAATTCTTCCAAATGGGAAATTAGATTTCTGTCCAATTCTCCCAAGAAAATCTGAGAGAGTTTCAACAAAGGATTGATTCATACTCTAACAGATGATACAGGAAATGGCATTATTCAATGCTAAAAATGAGACATTCCTAATTTATGGTTATTATGGGAATATAATTTTTATGTTAAATGAATAGTTGGAAAGACTAACATATCATAATATTCCCTTCATATACTTTGAAAAATTTAATACCTATAATGAAAATTCTTGAAATATGCTGTCTCCTCAAAATTTTTCAATTTTTATCAACATACTAATCATGAGAAAAACTCACTATTTCACCTTTTAAAGTTGAATTTGTGCTCTAATGTAATTATTTCCTTTATGGGGTATCTTACATTGTAGGTCTCCGATCTTTTTTCCTAATAAGGAAATAAAAATGACTTACAGATTATGGTGGTATTCTAACTACAGCAGTTAGTTTTTTGTTTGCTTTGTTTTGAGTGTAATTATGATAGCCTTCTTTATATTAACTACATTGTTTAATTAAAGGCAAAAAATGTTTTAGAATTACAATCTTAAAATATTGTGAAAAAATGACCATACCTCTGATTTTCCATCTTTTAAGTAAGAAAAAGGAAAAAAGAAAATTTCAGTCCAATCCCCAATTATCCTTAGAATTAACTGGGATTGTACATTGTAGAAAAATACTATACATCAAAGAAAATATTCATACAGAAAGAGGAATTAAAAAATGTTTTATTGTAATTTCTTTTTTACAAGGTAAGAATTATGCTATGCATTAAAAATACTATAATGATATTATTTACCTATTCACAATTACATGGAATTATTTGCCTATTCACAAGTTTATTCTGGATTAAAAGAAATTCTGGAGTGATTCAGGTTCTCTATATTGTGGATCAGCACAGATTATAGGTTTCCTTATTGAAGCTCTTTTTAGATACTATCTTCCTTGCAGACTTGGTCATATCAATATAAATAACTTAGTGTTTGGCCTCCTTGGTGGTGCAAGGGGCTAAATCTCAGGACTATGAAGCTATCCCCAGTCACTGCAGCATGAGTTGGATCCCCAGCCAGGGAGTTAACCCACATGGCAAAGCAGTCCTCTCCTGTCTTGTCTGCTGTTCCCCTCAGCAATGTATTTCAGTCAGTCTATTCTGCCCCCCTTTCTGTCTCTGGTGAATCTACTCACCCACCCCCACACCTCTGTTCTACACCCAAGCTCTTGTATGCATAAATAAATAAAATAAATCTTAAAAAAAAAAAAAAACTTAGTGTTTCCTGTTTACCCAGGAGGCTGAAGACAAACATCCTCAGCTGCATTAAAATAGCTAACTTTTGCTTCCCTAAGAACATATACGGAATGAATGACTTTTTTCCCAACTCAGAATCATACTGTACAAAAATCTACCATAATTTGTAAAGAACTACTGTATCTTCATTTCTTTATTTATTCTTTCATTGATGTTTATTAACAGAGTTGAGAAAACCAGACAAGCTACTGGAGATATAAAAGTTGAGCTTGACCAAACCCGTGGCTTTATATTATGATACTTATTATATGGGTAAAAAACAAACAAAAATCTAATCATTTTAATATGTTTAATTATAATAGTTTTGATAGCTCAAAATAGAGATTTGAACAGGACCTCTGTAGTACCTTTGAACTATTGAGAATCTTAGATTTGACACTAATCAGACTTATCATCAAAGGGGAACAATCTGCATTATAAGACTATTCTCATGAACTCAAAATCTAAAATATTTTTATTTTTAATCTTCTATGGGTAAGACTCAACATCTGCTTTGTCTAAAATAGATTGTGGGCCTCCCTGGTGGCGCAGCAGGTTAAGCGCAGTGCTATGAAGCTGTCCACAGCCTCTGCAGCACTGGTTTGATTCCCGGCCGACCAGGGAGCAATCCACACGGCGTGGCAGACTTCTGTCTCACCCGCTGCTCCCCTCAGCAGTGTATTTTGATCCTTCTGCCTGTGCTGCTTCCTGCTCTGTCTCTGGTGAATTCTCTTACCCTCCCACACTTCTGTCCTGTACCCCAGTGCTTGTAAAAATAAATAAATCTTTAAAAAAAAATAAAATAGGTAGTGAATAATAAAATAAATAGGTAGTTAATTAGGTTTGCTTAAAAAATTCTTATCATTGTGAAAAATAACTGTTTGCTATAATTTGAGAAAACATGTTCTATGTGCTCACTGAAGGCTTTTTAAAATATCAAGTCCTGCAAAATTTAACCTAAGTTTATCTGCTTTATCTTGTTATTTTCCATTTGCTTTTTTCAGTTAAAGGTCATCGGTTCCAACCATTAAAACAATGTTCACCTTTGAAAGACATAATTAGACTATTTGCAATAAGGTAGACTTTTGTCCCATGAGTAAAGGAAAATGAGATTATTGCCTGAATTTTCTGAAGTAATAATCATATATAGAGTGATAATTGATTATCATATCAATTATCATATATAGAGTGATAATTGATTATCCAAAACTGAACATTTATGATAATAAAGGATCTTCTCTGAATACATATAATAGAACCATAGGCATAAACCAGGACTGTTTTAAACACACCAAGGCCACTCTAGTGATACCATGCAACTTATTAGGGAAATTCAACTGACTCCCCAAATAAATGAAAGTAGAAATAGCTCAGATAAGGGACAACTATAAGAAAACGTCCTTTTGTTCTAGCTTTTTGATGTTGGAGAGGTTACTTATTTCTTGGATTCACACTTATTAAGAAAAACTAATTAATGCAAAAATGAAAGGGGACATCATTAGCAATAAACAGATTTTGAAAAACACACTGAATTAAGTTATTACTTTACTATGCAAGATTATGAACACTGTTGCTATCTATTCTGATCCAGACTCAAACCTTTTTTGAAGGACTTGTTTTCTATGAGATGGTTAATAATTCAGAACATGAAATTTCCAAGTAGTTTGTCAAAATTCCCAGCAATATTTGGGTATATGACTGGTCTTCTAGGAAAGCATCTTTTAATTATGCAACAAAGAGCTAATCTTCCAAAAGGAAACTTCCTGGAAAATATGAAAGATATTTTTTTTTCCCAAAATCCACACATCATTTAAATCTGAGAGCATACTTACAATGAATGCTGTGTGACAGCCCTAAGTTATTATGTGAAAAGAAACTTGGCATCCAGAACTGAAATAGAGTTCTTTCCAGGAATGTGTAGTCTAGTATTGGCATATTCTGCTACTGGAAATATGGAACCTACGTTTAGGTTTTAGAACAAATACAAACCGTGTTTGTATTTAGAACAATGTTCTTTTTAATTCTTTGTGCTCTGTCACTAGGTCTTTGGAGTGCTTAAGTGAACAACATAGTCCAAGTAAAGTGGCATAATATATTGGTTGCAAGGCAAGGTTTTAATGTCAAACTGTAAATTTAAATACTAGTTCTCAATAATGAGATCTATAATCTTGGAAAATCAATATGCTTCAACATTCCCATCAGTTCAATAACGTTAATTTTCTATGTGATTTGAGAGGGAAAAAAAGATCACACACTTAGAAGAGTACAAAGCAAATGTCATTTAAGATTACCTATTATTAGAATATGATTTAAAAATCAATTAAATCTTCCTACTTCATAGATTTGTAGACTTTAACAACTTATGAATTATATTTTTTACTTGTATAAACTTAGAAAATGGGTAAAGGGTAAAGACAAAATATCTAATAGTGACACAACTAAGGAAAGTTGAGCTGGGGTAGGAGAGGGGAGTAGAAAGAACTCTGAATTGCTGTTAATGAAATTATTTAATATTATTTTATATTTTCACAGAACAGATTCCTAAAATAGTGTATTTCGAACTTTATTGTGCTTATGAATGACTGGGTGTTTGCTACAGTTTAGATTCAGATTCAGATATGTCCTAAAACTCTACATTTTAACAAGTTCTTAGGTGATTTCATTACTGGTGATCAGTGGGACACACTTTGAGATCAAGGAACTAGCACATTTTAAAATAGATGTACAGTTTTCTCCTTTATGCTTACCCAATAATGAAAGTTTGATTATATAAAATACCATTGAAACTTACTTAAAAGCACATAAAAGTTATAACATATATGGGAAAAATGGAGATGTTAAAAATGCTGAAAGTTTCCATGAAATTATTTACCTATAAAGGTAATATTAAAACAAAACATTTCCTTAGCCAATCATCATAGATTAGTGGTTATTGTTTAATATTTAGTTTTTAAAATAATTATTTTAATTAGTAATTACAAACAACTACAATTTAGAGGTTATTTTGTAGTTGAGGTGCTTGTGAATTTACATCATTGCTTGTGAATTAGATGTATGGGATCTCCCCCATCAGGTGTTGTTATCACACCACACCACTGCCAAAGAACCCTGAGTCCATTATTGGTATCTAGTACCAAATACCATACCCTCCTCTTACCTAAAAACAAAAATTCACTCATCTTTCCACTAATGATTTTTTGCCCACTCAAAACATATGAGAAAATTGAGATTTTTCTATTAATCTGTCTTGTTACGACATGTGGTGGTGGGATGAAAATGGATTACTCAGAGTCCATGTCCAGAACAATGAGAAGCCTAGAGTGACTACACCAAGAAAGTGCAGCCCAGCTCCAAGGGCAGTCTCATTTTTATTTAGAATCAGACAGAAAGTTAAAAGATCCAAGAAGCAAGCAGGCAAAGGAGGAATGCACAAGTTTATGGGGGATGAGTAACCAGCTTCCCCCAGCCAAGGTTGAGAAATAAGGAGAAAGTCAAGGACAGTCTCAGTGTTTATGCTACTCTAGTCATAACACCTATTGCTGTTTTTGTACATGCTCTTTTCAGCATGTATAGATCCTCATACCAGGCCTTTTGCCCTGAGAGATTCCCTATCTTAAACTTTCCCTGTCTCTGCACATGCTGTTTTCAGCATGTATAGATCCTCATTCCAGGACTTTTGCCCTTAGAGGTTTCTTATCAACTTTCCCTATTTCTGCACACTGAGAGGCCCAGTGTAGTCAAAGCAAAGAATAATCAGGCCTCCCTGGTGGCGCAGCGGTTGAGTCCTGGGTTGTGAAGCTGCCAGCAGCTTCTGCAGTGCCAGTTCAATCCCCGGCTGCTCCCCGGCCACCGGAGGAGGGTCCCACATGACGCGCAGACCTCTCCTGCCGCCCGCTGCTCCCCTCAGCAGTGTACTTCGGTCCTTCTGCCTGCTCTGCTCCCCGCTCTGGCTCTGGTGAATTCTCTCACCCTCCAGTGCTTCTGACTGTACCCAGTGCTTGTATAAATAAATAAATAAATAAATCTTTAAAAAAAAATAAAAGCAAAGAATAATCAAGGCAAAGACACAGGATAGTTGAGGCACACAATAATACAAGCTCCCACATTAATCTATTTATTGAGGTAACAAATGGTTTACAACACTGTGATTCAGAGTGGGTAGGATTACACCACCTCAGTTGCATGTCCTCACACTACACCCACCACCAAGGCACCCATAACCCTCTACTATAGTCTGTTACTTTGTTAACTAAATACTACCTAGATCTAGTAATTTCTGAAAGCTTATGATTTGATGGGCAAGGAGAGTTTTGCCAATCAGAAATACATCTTCTTTTGACTTGACAAGTCATAGTTTTTATAATTGATAGTCTTTCTTGGGTCTAGTCATTGGATATTGTTTTACAATGTTACTATGAAGATACAAGGTATGGAACAGACATTATTAGCTATCAGAATTATAGTTAACTGGATAGGTTAATAGTCTATCCATCATCAGAATGAAGTACACTTATTTATTAATTTGTATGGTTCTCTATCACGTTTAAATTCTTTTTATAATTATTCCACTTACTTCTCAGTCCAACCATGTTTTATAGGGAAAGCAGGCATTATACTTCCATTATAGATAAGGAAACCAAACTTTCTCTAAATTAATTTCCATACAAGGTCCTGTATCTGCTAACAAGGAAATGGTGACTTAGATTTTCCAACATCAGAACCAGTGCTCTAATACACCATGCTGTTTTCTCTGTCACTCAACAATAACACTTAATGCGTACAAGGTATTATATCATTGCATAAGTGATAGAGGAAGTAAAATACTTGTAAGTGGAGAACACCTAACAGGTACATAAGATAAACTGGTCTAATCTATCAGTGAACAACAGTATGAGATAAACTAGTAGAGTAAAAAAAATCATAATATTACTAAAGACAATTTCACAATATTTCTCCGATGCCTGCAGACTTATGGATATGTGGTTCTTTTTTTTCATCTTTATGATCATTGTTTATTTTTATTATTTTTAATTTTTTTATTGCTGTACCATTGGTTTCCTAAACCAACATTACCCAATCACATTCTTCTGATTCTTTTTTTTCTTTCAGTAACTATAATTAATATATGTAATAACATTTCATCATCATTTAATCTTTAATAACTAGTAAGCATGTTTGGCACTTTCATTGAAGTACCAAAGTGCTTAAAAGTGAATATTAGAGCAGAGAGGGAAATTTTAGAATTAAACATTTTAAAGATAAAGAAATTCTTGGTAATGCCACAGGGAGGCTAACTAGTGAAATGAGGTGAAGGCAAATGAGGTCAGGAATTTCACTGGACCACTGTGTGGGCATTGCTAAAAGTCCAGGAACAGCAGTTTGAAGGTGGAATGGAGAACAAACCTCTGAGCCAGGATCACATTAGAGACTCTGAGAACAGTAGATGGCAACAGTTAGTTAAAGAAAAGGTCCAATTTCTAGACTAACAAACTTCCATGTAGGGAGGTCACTTGAATAAAGTTAATGAAGAATATAGAAGTGGAAGTACAGTAACAATTCCGTCCCTTCCCTAGGATCTGCAGACACAGGTGACAACAGAGAAGGGACACCTTCACCCTCCTGAAATGGTTATAAAATGGGGTATTTTCATTTGGGGAGATTCAAGCTCAAATGTCCATCCCTCTTGGGTGACAGGGGTAGGAGTGTTTCAGAAGAAAGATAGCAGTGAGGTAATTGGCGAGGAGGAGAGAGGAGGCCTGAGACAACATTGCCAGTGCTTAAGAATTACAAAAATGTTTAGTAGTTCAAGAAATCTCCACACAGCTCTCCATAGTGGTTGGGCCAGTTTGCACTCCCACCAGCAGTGCAGGAGAGTTCCTTTTTCTTCACAACCTTGCCAACATTTGTTGTTGCTACTTTTTTTTTTTTTAAAGATTTATTTATTTATGCAAGCACTGGGTACAGTCAGAAGCGCGGGAGGGTGAGAGAATTCACCAGAGCCAGAGCGGGGAGCAGAGCAGGCAGTAGGACCAAAGTATACTGCTGAGGGGAGCAGCGGGCGGCAGGAGAGGTCTGCGTGCCATGTGGGACCCTCCTCCTGTGGCCGGGGAGCGAATCGAACCAGCGCTGCAGAGGCTGCGGGCAGCTTCGCAATCCAGCGCTCAACCGCTGCGCCACGGGGGAGGCCCTAGTTTTTTTAATACGTGCCATTCTCACTGGTGTGAGATGGTATCTCATTGTAGTTTTGATTTGCATTTCCCTGATTACAAGTGATGTTGAACATTTTTTCATATGCCTGTTGGCCATTTGCATTTCTTCTTCAGAGAAGTTTCTTTTTAGCTCTTCTGCCCATTTTTTGACTGGATTATTTTCTGTTTTTGTTGAGTCTCATCAGCTCTTTGTAGATTTTTGTGATCAGTCCTTTATCATTAGTGTTGTGTGCAAAAATGTTCTCCCAGTCGATGGGGTTTCTCTTTGTTTTTGTTATTGTCTCTTCTGCTGTGCAGAAGCTCTTTAATTTGATGTAGTCCCAGCTGTATAAACATAGAGCTTCCATATGATCTAGCAATTCCACTCCTACATATTTACCCACCGAAACAGTAATTCCAAAGGGCACCTGCACCCCTATGTTTATAGCAGCACTATTTACAATAGCTAAGCTTTGGAAACAACCCAAATGCCCAAAAATAGATGACTGGATCAAGAAGATGTGGTACATATACACAATGGAATATTACTCAGCAATCAAAAAAGATAAACACATGCAGTTTGCAGCAACATGGATGGAGCTGGAAGGGATCATGCTCAGCGAAATAAGTCAGAAAGAAAAAGAAAAATACCAGATGGCCTCACTCATAGCAGGAATTTAGAAAACCTAAATAAGAGACCAGGAAAAAGACTAATCAATACAAAGTAAAAGTCAAAATCAACAAGCAACTATAAACCAGAGACACACTGGGGGGTGGGGTGGGGGAGGGAGGGAGGGATGGGGAAAGGAAGGACTAGAGTCAAAAAAAGGGGGGTTGCAATTGTATGGGGAATATAACCAAAATGAAAATGCATACATTATGCAAAGATGAAAAAAGATGTAAGAATTATATAAAATAAAATATTAAAAAAATACAAAAATGTAGTACCATAGCTGGATTCCCTTCATTTTGAGACAACAAAAATATACTCCAAGACTAAAAATTAGGAATGAGTGGAATTAAACTCTAGTCATTTCCTGTTCCCTCTTCAGGCTGTTAACTCAGTAAGTTGCATTTCCTCTCTAGGATTAACTGTTAGCTCACTGAATTGCACCACTCACATTCCTTCCTTATAATTAACCATTAACTGGCTCCATCTGCAGTTCTGGGAACTTGGAAAACTGATTGTGTTCTGAGAAAACACCCTGTTGGGATGCAAAAACACCTTGATTCATGTCACCCTGACTGCCTGGCACCTACTTGGAACTGGACATGTGGAGTCCTGCACGTCCCTCACATTCCTTTGCCCTTAAAAAGTCCCAGATTCCCACCATTCAGGGAATGGCTTGCTTTGGTGTACCTGTCCAGCCAGCTCCTGTGTGAGTCTCTAGTGGACTCGGAGATCTGGGATGCTGATCGCGAAGTACTAACCATACGGTGGAGTGCTATGAGCACGAAGCAGTGAGTCTCTATTTTACTCAGCATGGTTATATAGGCATAGGAACAGAGACATCTGCGTTTTTTCATAAGTCAGAAAAAGCCAAAACAATCTAGCCTCGCAGGCCATGTACGTGAGCTCACACCCCCCCCCCACATATGTGAGGCCAAGTCTGCCCTAGTGGGCCTCTGTTGCTAGGTAACGACTGAGGAGAGTTCCAAGGACAAAGCAAGTTCAGGGCGCCCCTCCTGAGCGGTTTTCCGCCCTGATGATGTACCCGAGTTTTCTCAAGCGTTTCGGTCAGCCCTTTGCCATGCCGTCCTCAGATTGCCTCTCCATCATCCTCATGCAACACTCCTGGGGGGACCATCTCAAACACAATTCCTAATGTAGTGCCAATTCTCATGATTCAGAGTTTGACTTTCTGGGTATCAATGAAATATCCAGCGTGGTCCTTTTCAGTACTGTAGAGAAGATGTCACAGAGACAGATTAAAAGTCACATAAAAATGCAACAATAGATTTTTTTTAAGGCTTTAATTTCTAAGTGTTTGATATGATAAATGAAGTAAACAGAAACCTAGAAAGCAGTAGCATATAATGGAATCAGGTGGCCAGGAATCCGAAATGACAATATTTGGGTAAGATTTAGAAAGGTGCCAAGTGAGAAGTTTATAGATGATGGAAGTGTAATCGCAAGCAAGTAGAAGGATGTAATGAAAGCTACAAAATAATTCTGATGAGGAAAATAAACCTATACGTCAATACTGTTTTAAAATAAAAGTTTTATAATTGTTGAGAAGTAAAAGAACTTTGATGGCACAAAGAGGAGGTATTATTCCCAGTATGAAAATGTTAGTAGTGTTTGAAGAGGTGTATGAACTGAAGAAAAGAGGAAATGGGTGGTGGGTGGTGGGAGTGGGTGAATGCAACAAGCAAAACACTGAAGACCATGCAGTGAAGGAGGAATTTAAAGTTGATATTGAGAATAGGAAATTTTCCTACTGAGGAATGAAGAAGGCTGAAAGGCTGTCACAGTCTTCTCAGGCTCTGAGTGGAAGCTATGCAGTGTCCTTTGCCTCTGCCCCAGTGCTCCCCACCCCAACTATTTTCCTGGATGGCATAACTTCTGCTTGTTATTTCAGATCTGCATGGTCATGTGTTATCATGGACTTTCCTCTTCCTCTGCCTGAGGGTCTCTGAGAGGAAAAAGGTGTTGAGTCTTTCCCAGCTCCTACGATTCACATTCTTTGTGGCCTCCAGCTTTCTTCTAAGCACTCCCCTGAAGAGACAAGAAAGGGCATTCATAACAATCCCTGTCAATCCTCTAATGCAATCAGATTCTTCCAACAGTGTTATGAACTGACATTTATTGGGCTCTCTCAATAAACCAAGTACTCAGGCATTGTGTTAACACTTCTTAAAATTTTTTCATGGCAAACTAATACAGTAATTATTGCTATTTTAGTTTAATAGATGAGTGTAGGATAAATGGTTTTTCAGGCTTTTCTGCCCTCCCACCGTTAGGATTGCCCTGCCTGATGGGGCACCTGCAGTTGTTACATTGTTGCTAACTGCCTTATTTACTTCTGTGGGCCATGGGAGGAGTATTGAGAGTCACCAAGAGAATCAGAAGCAAGAAAGAGGCAGGAGAGAAAAGAGGGAGAAAGAAGCCAGAGAAGCCCAGAGTGAAGACTTGACGGGGACTTGGAGGCCTGCTTGCCTCCTGGCCCCCTGGCCCCCCCTCCTGCTGTGTACCTGGTTGCTGCAATGCATGCAAAGCTCAATAAAAGCCTGAGAAAGCCACTGAGGGCTCCAGGCCTCCTTCTTCACCCTGTCTGGGCGGATCATAGATAACCAGCTCAGTGGCCCATCCTGCCTCTACAATGAGGAAACTAAGGTTTACAATCATTAAATAACTTTCCCAGGGTCCAGATTTCTACAATGGCCCTCAATCTCATCATCACCTTCAGGTCTGTGCTCCTGACACTCCCTACAGCAGTCTGATACCTGCTTGGGTCTTGTGCTTTGTGATCTAGGCATTGAATGCGCCTAAGGATCTTAGTTCCTATAACCGGTTAATGGCTATGTTAATCCCTTTACCTCCACCTCCTTGTGTGCATCATGTTCTAGTTTTGGGATGCCTCCTTTTCAAGTTTTCTATTCTTTTCCTCCATCACATGTGTTATGAATGACAAAAAAAATCACTCCAAATTATTTGATATTTTATCAAATTTATGTATTGCTGCATAAAAATGGGATGATTAATTTTCTGAGTTAAAAAAAGACAATGTTCTAATTTTATATTATAAAAAAGAAACTCCCAGCTTTTTAATGTTTGATTGCTTCAAAAAAAAAAAAAAAAACCTCTGGCAAACTGTGAAGACTCTGGAAATACCATAGAATAGTCATTATTTTTAAAGAAGATGAATTCTGTACTTTTCCTGAGTCACTTATCTAAATATGGTCAAGAAGCTCTGGAATCTTAAGGGCAGTAAAATATCCTTGATATCTGTCTTTAAAGTTATCTTAAATAAAGATAAAGCTGACTATTTTAACTTCCTGTTTTGTCTTAAATATTAGTAACTAGGAACAGAATGCAGTGATTAAAACCAGGGGGAAAAGTAGATATATAAGGAGAAATTTATAAATAGTAAAGCTAGGATCAGAACTAGTTATGAGGATGAAAAATAACACCTCTCAAGATTAGCATACTTAGGATTTTTCCCTTGGACTTTGTAAAAAACTATTGCAAAAATAAGAATTTATTTTAACCCATTACATTAACCCACATTTATTATATCAACTCAGCTTAATAATAAATGTTTGCTTATTTATTCATAATATTTTATATATATTAAATATTGTAGAGAAAATACAGGAAAAAATAATGAAAATTTGGTTTGTTTGATTATCTAGTCATTGAAACCTTACCATTAAACCATAACATTAAAAACAGTAAAAAGCAAATGGCATTTGTGAAAATACATCCACAAAATTAATGATTTATGAAAAATAAATACATGGACTATTACATAAAATATACAAATATAAAAATTCCTCCAAAATAAAGACAAAGAATTTTATTTTATTTATTTTTTTTTTTTAAATATTAAATTTTATTTTTATATTCCCCCATACAATTGCAAACGCCCCATTCTGACCCCAATCCTTCCCCTCCCACCCCCCACCCCCCAAAAGTGTCTCTGGTTCGTAGTTTTTTGTTGATTTTGATTTTCACTTTCTTATATTCATTTTCCTGGTCCCTTATTTAAGTTTTCTAGACTCCTGCTATGAGTGAGACCATCCGGTATTTTTCTTTTTCTTTTTGGCTTATTTCGCTGAGCATGATCCCTTCCAGTGCCATCCATGTTGCTGCAAATTGCATGTGTTTATCTTTTTTGAATGCTGAGTAATATTCCATGGTATATATGTACCACATCTTCTTGATCCAGTCATCTATTTTTGGGCATTTGGGTTGTTTCCAAAGCTTAGCTATTGTAAACAGTGGTGCTATAAACATAGGAGTGCAGGTGCTCTTTGGAATTGATGTTTCTGTGTCCTTTGGGTAAATACCTAGGAGTGGAATTGCTGGATCATATGGAAGCTCTATGTTTAGTAGGTCCAGAAATCTCCACACAGCTCTCCATAGTGGTTGGACCAGTTTGCACTCCCACCAACAGTGCAGGAGAGTTCCTTTTTCTCCACATCCTCGCCAACATTTGTTGTTGCTAGTTTTTTTAATATGTGCCATTCTCACTGGTGTGAGATGGTATCTCATGGTAGTTTTGATTTGCATTTCCCTGATTACAAGTGATGTTGAACATTTTTTCATATGTCTGTTGGCCATTTGCATTTCCTCTTCAGAGAAGTTTCTTTTTAGCTCTTCTGCCCATTTTTTGACTGGATTATTTTCTTAGACAAAGAATTTTAAATAATTCAAGAGTAGACTTAGCCAATGTGCATTTGGAAAATTGCCACACTTATTTATAATTAATGAAATGCACCTGAATGTTAGTAAGATAATTTTATCTACCAAATAATAAAATTAACAAATAAAGTCCCAAGTTAGATGAAAAATATTATATATAAATAAAACTCTGGGCCAAATAGACACTTTCAAACATTAATTCTGTTTTATAAAACTAAGAGTTTCTAAAGGATGTTTAGAAATATAAATCAAATATCAGAAAAATGTATATTCTTTGATTCAGAACTTTCTAATTACTCTTTCTTTCTGAAATATCTGCGAAAGACATGCTAAAGGGCATGCATTAAAATTCATGCACATGTGGGCCTCCCTGGTGGTGCAGCGGTTGAGCGCTGGGCTATGAAGCTGCCCGCAGCCTCTGCAGCACAGGTTTGATCCCAGGCTGCCGGGTGAGGGCCCCACATGGTGCACAGACCTCTCCTGCCGCCCGCTGCTCCCCTCAGCAGTGTACTTGTCAGTCTGCCTGTTCTGCTTCCCGCTCTGGCTCTGGTGAACTCTCTCACCTTCCTGTGCTTCTGACTGTACCCAGTGCTTGTGTAAATAAATAAATCTTTAAAAAAAAATTCATGCATATGTGTGCATATTACAGCCATATGCTTCACAACAGAAAACAAATCAAACCCTAAAGAGTTTGTGCTCCTTTAAGAGTGACTAGATAAGGAGCAATCTATTTATAAGATGAAATATCGTGATGCTATTATATAATTATATATAGCCATTATATAAGATTACATAGAACTGTGATTTTTTTATCGGAGGCTCACCAACATTAAAAGAGCCCCAGGGAATGAAAAGGGCATAGTCCATGAGGAAGCAAAATATTCCAACCAAAGAAGTATGGAGCTTTGAACAACAGGATCAACTGCTTAAAATCTGATAAATAATTTGTTACATGTTATTAATTTATAAAAAGAAATGTGAAAAAATAATGCAATAACAAAAACTTTCAAATTCTACATAGTTATTCAAAATCAACAACAAACCACTCCACAAAGGAATGAGCCCCTCCCAAAGACTGTTAACAGTGCAATCTCTGCACTGGCATGGGGTAGCAGTACTTTGCCCATCTGTGCCTATACAGGTGTTCCTTTTTGCCAACTCTCTGTCCCTCTGCAGGGCAGCAGCCTTCTTGCCTGCCCGTG